AATATATATAAACCCCTTACCATTACTTCATTTGCACACAATACAACACAAACACAGTAAGATCAAATTCGTTGCCTTTGTCTTTGATTGCATGCTGAGATAGAGTCAAATTATCACTTTATAAAAGTTATTACTCCCTCCGTTCCTTGTTATAAGAGACATTTGATGCTTATGGCATGTTCCTATATATAAGAGACACTTAAAAGTTATCTCTACTTTTTTGTGTTGATTTCCTATTTTACCCATATTTATTATCTCCAACTCATACTCTCTCTCCCTCTCACTTCTCTTTTTTTTAATAATTTAATTGTTTCTCTCATGCTCTCTCTCCTTATTAATGAGGGCATTTTTGGAAAAAAAATTATACTTTTTATACATTAATTATTCTTAACTAATTTTAACTATTTTTTTTATCAACGTACTTCGGTTATTTGTCTCTTATAATAAGGAACGGAGGGAGTATTATCCTGGCTTGAATTTTGAAATTACAATCTATATTCAAAAGTTTTCATTGTATCCTGAAAGAAATTTACCAGTTAACCCAACTTGCACCCTATAAAATAAGAATAGGTGGGGGCGCATTAAGGGTGTGTTTGGCAAGCACCCCAAACCATGGTTTGGGAAAAATGTTAGCCAAACACCCTTAAAAAAATCAAAACCATGGTTTGGGTTCAAAACCATGGTTTTGACTCCAAAACTATGGTTTTGGGAAAAGCAGAAATTTTTTACTTTTGGAGAAAAAAGAAAGAGTGTGAGAGCCTATAAAATATATATCTTGTTATTTTTTTTATAAATATATTTAATCTTATATCTTATAAATATATATACATATTAATTATTTATTAATTATATTATCTTATATATTATTAATATATGTTAATAAAAAATATATTATTAACAGTTTTATTCTTTCAAATTAAAATATATCATAAAATATTTTTTTTCTATAATTATCATATTAATTTATGCCAATTTGTATATATAAAAAGTACTTCTAATAACAACTATCCAAACACTCACACTCCTCAAAATCACTTTTTCACAAAATCTATTCTTCCCAAAATCTATTTTTTTCAGAATCTATTCTCTAGAAGCTATTCTCCAAACCATGGTTTGGTTTCATCCAAATACACCATAAGTCTAAAAGAAATTGTTGCTTATATCTTGAACGCATTGTGCACTACAGTCTTCTTTATTTTTTTTCCTTATACTCTTCATATAACCATTCCTGCGAACATTTATTTTCCTGGTGTTTATGGATCCTTAATTAATAAATTGGTTTGTTATAAAAAGATAACTCGAATGGTGGGTGAATTTGGTGTGAGGCACGCGAAGGCTGAATAGGTCCGGGAGGGGGAAAAAAAGAAATCATACTTGAATCAAAATAAACAAAAAAACAGGCATCGGAGTTTTTTTTTAACAAACCATTTGTACTAATAACTAAAGAATTAACGTTAATAAAACAAGATGATTTTCAAAAATTAAGAACATTAATAAGATCATCCTCTCCTTTGTAAATCAACCATTATGAATTAATGTTTTTAAATATACTATAAAAAGTTGAATCATCACAAAATAGACCGCGGATGATCACTTTTTTTCTTCAAGTCATAATTTCAGCTTAATATATATGTGTGTGTGTGATGAAGTATCCATAAATTTTCAAGGCATGCAAAATATATAGATCTATTGTCAACAGTATATTGTTCGCTGTTATACTCTATATTTAAATAAAGCCCAATATTTGACAATTTGACTTCTTTTAAAAATTTAATTGTCATAAAAAAAATCTTTTATGACAGTTAAAAAATTTTTTTTACAGTGATTTTAGGAGCATAGTAAATACTGTCGACGCAAAAAACAAAAAATTTCACAGTAGTTATTAACTGCCGTGAAAATACACAACGGTTTTAAGGAATTAATCACCACGAAAAATTCTCAATAAACAGCATTATGGGTTTATTTTCTATAGCGGTTATTTATGTAACTGCCATAAAAACATTTTAATTAAAAATCAATGCATACTCAACATTAACAAATTCAGCACAATTATTTTATATACTTGAAGAAATTTTGAAAACAAAAATACAATAAACAATAACAACGTCTATGTAATCAAGAAGTTGAACTTTAAGTTTAAACTGTGCATAAGCATATTTATAAATATAGTAACCTGTAGACGACATGATAAAAAGAACAAAATAGAAACTTCACTTCACAACTCTACTATACAAAGCACGATAATTTTATGAAATTTATTTATTTATGTGACTAGGACCAATAAGTTATTTTATTAGCCTTCTAATTTTTCTGTTGATAATGTGAAATAGGAATAATGGAAAAATAATAATATATTCTTTTATTATGTATTATTTATCAATGTTAGTTATTTTGAATTAAAAAAATACATTTTACTTTTTTAATATAAATTATTTTAGAGCCTTTTTCTATCCTTATTTATTTATGCTAATTTTTTTTGGGTAGATGTGAAATAGAGATAATGGGAAGATGATCAAAATGGATGAAAGAACGCGATATGCTAGGAACATGCTTGTTTTGTTGTTTAGCGAGGTTATCCGCATAGTATGTTGCAAGTACTTCCTTTAAAAATATTAAATTAACGAAGACAAAATGGCTGGTGAGATGAAACTCACGTACTTTATTCAATAATTATATAGAATAATTTTCTTGTCAATAACTAGTAACTACATAGGACAAATATGATTTTTTATATTATAAAAGTAGGTTACATAATGTACGAAACATTAATGGAGAGAAAACGGTTAGTGAGTTGAAACTCACATATTTAAATCAATAATTATATAGGATAATTTCATGGTCAATAATTATGTACTCCTCTAGTCCTATTTATAGAGCAGAGGGAGAAAATATTTTTTGATCCTATTGGCTATTGTAAGGCACTAAGAGAAATTTTTCATATAAATATACAATTTTATCCCTTCATTTATTATTGTGTTGACTTTGTTTATATAAGATATAATATATATTAAATAGAGATAAAGCTGAAAAGTCGTTAAATTTTAAATGAGAATTAGATCTGTATGAAATATGTTAGAAGTGACTTATAATAAGACCAGAAGAGTAAGATATATCAACAACTACTTTTTCAAAAACCTTTAATGCAAATATGAGGAATAAAATCTTTTAGCTCAAGTTCTTAAGGATTGATGATTCAGACTTCATTGTAGAATGTTTCAAAGGGACTTGGATTTTTCCAACTATAAAGTCACTTTTATTACCCTCCATGGCTGAAATTCAAACCCCCATTCCATCATATTCCAAGAAAAACATCTTACTAAATAACTCAAAAAATAAAAAATAAAAAATAAAAACCCAAGTAGAGATGTACTCTCATAAGTTGAAAGTGATGTTAATGTGCAATAACATTAAGTTTAGTCACCCATCCAAAGAGAGTTTACTTCTATATATCATGCATAGCATCCCATGGCCCTTCTTCCAAATAGCCCAGTCGCTCAAATAAAAAAAGCTAACCTTTCTTAATTAAAAAGCAGCATGCAAAGCCTTGTAATCTTATCACACGTACGTCACGTTTTGTGTATTCATGAAAAACGTTGAGAGACCCATGTGGGTGGATAAGAAATTTTAGGAAGTTTTAAGCTGCAACACACTTTAAATGAAAGGTACGCAGTCAACATCTTAGAATACCAACAGTACAGTAGGCACAAGAACAATGAGCAAAAGCAAAAGATTGGATTACTGAAACGCACATGCAATGAAGTTATACTTTCTTGAAGTTCCAATATATATATATATATATATATATATATATATATATGGCAGCTTTTCACCCGCGACCATTTTGCAGATTATATGCCAAGGATTCTGAAACAAAACCCAAATCATAAGCAGGATAAAGAAAAAGATTTTGCCATAGCCTTTATATTTCAGCATCCACACTCAATCAAACAAAATCTAAATCATTTGCTAAATAAAATAAAATCAACATCAAGATATTAGGATTCATGAGATTGTGATTTAATCAAAGCTATATATGACTGGTGTAAGATGAAGAGTAAAAGTTAACATAGGAATGGTAAGACAGGGATGAAGGCAGCATTGTCCTGAACCATAAATACTTACAGGCCAAGACAGCAAAAATAAATATTCAGTGAAACATTGGCAGAAGAAATCTAGTCAAAATCAACGCTAAACATTGTGCACGATTATGCCTTGCTTTAGTGATTCATATTCACATATCTCAACCAGAAAGAAGGAAGAGAATTGGTAATTGGAATATTACTTGGGTAGCGCAATCAATGATAATTTTTCTTGAGCTACTTAGGCAGAGTCGCAAGTTGCTAGAAAAGTTTTGTTATTTTTCCTATTAAAGTTGTTGAATTCATATTTATCCTCTTCAAAAATATGAATTAAATATTTGAAATAATTATTAAGTTTTTTATTTGGGCGTTAGAAGCACATGATGTCATGAGGATCGCGTGCAGAAAATTTCGTCTTTACAAAAATAGGAAAACAACACAAGGCATTGAATATATGAGAGGAGTCGTGGGTAGTCATAAAAAATAGGTGTTCTTGTAATTTCGACTTTCAAAAAAAAAAAATGATAATAAGACCCATTATTCGCATCTTGATAAAACCACAAAGTCACGTCTTCCAAGCCACGCTTTATAGTCTACTCCTATATATTAATAAATTAATTATACAGTTGTTTCTTTTTAAAATCAGTAATAATGCACAAAATGCATACATGAATTTGAGCCGTTCCCGCCAAATGATTAAACAATTTTTCTTCCACAGGTTACACACTTGGCTCAAGACTATAATCACAAATACGATAAATAATCACATCAACAATTAAATGATCATTGATTCAAGAGAACAGACTCTTAACGTCCTCCACCAGCAGGTAAAATTGCGACGATATTGCAAGTTAACACAAAACGGAGAATCAACGAAGTAGCTCCTTCCAACTCTCCCGTTTCAGTTTCAGAAGTATCGAATTTGCACATCTTATCAATTATCTTTGTAAATGAATGCCTTTTCCGGTAAAATAACGTAGCTTACATGCTACCCCTTGGTCAATAAATGCTGCCCATTTGCTCACTCACAGCTTCATCATAAATTGGTTCTTTTTTGGCCTAACTTCAATATAGGCAACCGACCAGAGATACATAAAATTGGGAGCAGCAATAAAAACAATCATAATCATAGCAACTATAATTGTTCCAACGCTATATAAAACCATAACATCTCAATGTCTACTGAAGGAACATGAAAGAAAGAACATGAAAGAGAGAAAAAAGCAGACCCCTGAAACACTGTATCTAATTGCGTGGGTTTTATGTGTTTCCCCTGGAGTTTTATGCTTTGCTGTCAATGCTCATAGGCTCAGCATCCTTGCTCGCTTGTTTCTGCAACGTTCCCAATGTACAGTCATTAATTAGATGAAACCCAAATTCCAAGAGGAAAACAAGCTCATACTTCAACAGAAAAGAAAGATCATGACTAAAAAGTGGGAAAATGCCGTTCTGGGCCCTAAGAACAAATTCAACTCGCATGACTTCAAAATTATGATTTGCTCTCTAAATATTATTAACAGCATCCCATAAATAAATTGCCTTTTCTCAATCCTAGCACAGCAGAGGACAGCAAATAACTAAACATCAATAGAGAGAAGCAAAAGATCTAACAGTGCTTACATTACTGTCATTTGAATCCGGCTTACTCATCTTGGCAAACATATTTCCATAAAATTTAGCCTCTTTTCTGTTGTACTCCTTCACCTTTTCCTTCAAAGTCTTGTACTCCAGCTTCACATCCCTGTTTATACACCAAGAAGACTACGTCAGAACCTTACTGACAATAATACTGTGCGCGCACACCGTTCTTTGAAGAGATTACAATCAACTAACTTTGACATTGAAACCAATTCTAGCCATCTAGCGAACTACATACCTGTTGTCAGGGTCTATCTCGAGAGCTTTCTTAATATCAAGTTCTGCCAAGTCCAAGTCAGTCAACTCGATATAAGCTTGTGCTCTTCTATAAAGTGCCTTCACATTGCTGCTTTCAAGATCCAGAACCTGGTCCACAAAATTCATTCAGAGATTGTACAGGAATTTATCGAGGACTCACACACACACACACACACACATTTATTTTAGAGAACGTAACAAAACTGCAGAAATACCTTGGTACACAATCTCTCAGCTTCTTTATAATTTTTCAATTTCAACTTGCATGCCGCATTGTTCAGATTGCAAGCAACCTTCAGTGCCTTGGCTTGCTTCTTCTCCTCTTCACTGAAGGAGGAATCATACTCTATGTACTTGGCAGCCTGCAGTAAGGTTCCAGCATCATAACTGATTCAGAAGTTTATAAAATGCATTAAAAGGGAAGCCAGAGTTAATATTGTTCAATTAGATTACCTTCTCATATCTTTTAGCAGCTTTAGCATACTTTCCACTCTTAAACAACACATTTCCTTCTTCTTTCTTCTTAACAGCGCCTTCAATCTTCTCCTGTGTGTTCATATCCCAGGACTCTTTCTCCTGAATAAGATAAAAGGTTAGTGAAGACAGACTTCACAACAATAAAAGATACTAAAAATTCTAAGAGAAGATGACATCACTAACAGAAGATAGACATAAAAGAATAATTGAGATTGTCCATAGGAGAGATTTTCTTAGGCAAAAAACAGCAGAATGTTAAGGGCTCCAAATCCCCCAAGTTTAACAAATATAGATGATAAATTCAGAGAAACATAAGAAAATAAGAGAACATCAAGAAAGCAGAGCCTATATAGGATTTGCATTGATGAGCACCCAATGCTCCTCACCACCCATCTGGACCGTCCAGATCAGATCTAAACGGTCCGGATTTATTTTTATTTTTTTAAAAATAATTATTTTAATAGGTATAGAATAAAAAATAAAAACAATCTCATAACTATCATTCTTTAAAAATATAATTTTTTCTATTTTAAAATAATTATTTAATAATATTAAATCTGGACCATCCAGATTAAATCTGGACGGCCTAGATTGCTCATCAGGTGATGAGCATTGGGTGCTCATCAAATGGTAGCCCGCATATATATGTCCAATAAACTATATTATTGCATGAGATTACAAGAACAGTTGATTATGAAGGCCGTGCCAGGGAGTAGATTAAATACCCCTGAATGCTATGATACTTCAAAATATGATTATCCCTTTGGAAAAATGCCTCTCACTGGTCAAAATTTTGACTTTCATATTTACATATAATATAAAATCTCTATTAGCCCATAAATAATACTATTTGTTTCTCAAATTCAGAGCCACAGCTCTGGCTTCACTAATTTAAAAAAAAAAAAATTCAATGCACCACTGAAAAATGTCAGTCTAGCTTATTTAACTTACCTTCACAAATGATACTAGTTCAACTTCATAGTAAACAGTTGAGTTGGGAGGAACAACGGCCAATTCTTGCTTGGACTCAGATGAACCAAAGGCATACTCAGGTGCAATAGTCAACAATGCTACTTCACCCTTCTTCATAGTCAACACTGCTCTATCAAGTCCATCAATCACTTGCTCTGTTCAGCACGTCGAACATTTCACTTTAGCTGCCCAATAAAATATGAAAGGAAAATGGAGCAGGACACTCGGGTATTTCAGTTACCTTCATCTGTTTGGAACTCAAACAGCTCTTCATCATGGCCCTTCTTCAAGAAGACAGTGCCATCTTGCAGTTTGCCAATCAATTTCACTAGGCACACCCATAATTGCCAACACTGTCAGGAATTGCACATTTAAGGAAGCAAAAATATAAGCTTCATAACTGGTACTCACCTTTCACAACAGCTCCTTCATTTGGACGCTCGTATCCTTCCCCTTCACTGAGGATTTTCTTAATGACCTTCTTATCATCAGTAACTTCTGAAACAGTCTTCCAAGATACCAATTCAAGAGTTATCTGTAAGGATGCATTGGGTGGAACAGCACCTTCATCCCCATGTGCTGCTTTACCCTTCTCACCAAAACCATCTACAACAAGATAAAATAAATAAATATATCACAGTATATCCTTCGAAGATAAAAGAAAAGCAAGAGAGTATCAAAATATTAGACACATGGCTGGAGAATTCTTTAGACAACTTACATTGTGGCTTCACAGTTAAGAGCACTTTCTCTCCCTTCTTCATGGTTTTCAAAGCCTTTGCAAAGGCAGGACAAAAAAAACCTATTTCAGGATAAACACTAGTCATCAGATTATCAACATAAGCAAGTTTGAGAGAAAACATTAGCAGATATGCAAATACTAACCCTCTTTCACTGTAAACTCTACTCCATCAGATTTTGATACAAGCGTTCCATCTTCAAGCCGAGCTTCATATTTGACTAAATCCATGGGCACAGAGCATAGTCAGAACTTCGAAGCTGGAAAATAATATATAGACACACACATTTATATAAGTGCCTACCTAAAACTTCATCAGGATCTTTTGGGTTCTCCCATTTCTCTCCTTCAGTAAGGATTTTCTTAAATATGCCACCATCCTTACATATGTCCTTCACGCTGGTCCAAGACAGAAGCTCAACATCAAACTGAAGTGTAGCATTAGGAGGAATGGTTGGAGGAGAACCAGATTCACCATATGCTAGCTCAGCAGGGATGGTGAAAACAGCATTTTCACCTTTCTTCATGGTTTTAATACCCTGATCCCACCCTTTAATTACTTGTCCTGCAATTGCCCAATGTCAACTTCAAATCCATTCCAGAAATTACTACTCTCATATTGATAATACATGATAGCTTTATGCAGAAAACTTTACACTTACACCCACTACCAAACACCTGACTTGCATTCAGGAGTTTGGAAGGCTCAGGTATTTCACAATTTGTTACATGAATTGAGGAAAGTTTGAAACCAAATCCATCGAAGAGAACTGTGTAACAGAAGTCTTAACATAGCTAAACAGCAGATAAATCTGGATTATTACGCGATTCCGTGCTAAGGATTGTGAAAGGCCATTGCCCACTTCAATAGTTGGTGCCTAGATTTCTAAAGAAATAGATGTGAATGTAAGAGCAACAGATAAACTAGCGTTTATAACACAGTGCACTTTGCAAACTAAATGGCATACAATTCAGAACAAAGACCCTGCTAATAGCGTATACTACTTGGTATGACTTTCATTTTGTAGGAACATATAATTCAAATACAAAACTGTCAGAGAAAATCAAATATAAACGAACCGCAAAAAAATTTGAGAACGCATATATTTGGATTTTCTCGCTATGTACACCCAATTCCCCGCCAAATTCAACCATTGTCGAAGTTTAAGAACCTCTCATAATGTTCTACATTTCATATGGAAGGATTCCTAGAATCATACAATCAATTCAAGAAGCCATACGACGTCAGATTCATTTTTTGATCCCACAAAATACAGATTGAGGCAATTGCATTGTCACGTTGACAATCTACTCCATGCAATTAATTGAATTTGAATTGTTAGAAAGCTCATAATTCATGACTTTATAATTGACACGCCATGTTCCAAGTATATCGATTACCAGATCCTACAGCTTTCACCATGATAATTTAAAAAGCAAAATGCAGCACTCACCTTGTCCGAGCGTAAACTTAAAGGGGGTTCCCCTGTCGCGGCTTGAATCAAACTTGGTCCCATCAAGCAGCGTTCCCGTGTAATGAACTATCACAACAGCAAAACAACAACTAATCAGGACGACGCCAGAATGCGAGTAACCAAGCACATCATGTCTACACAAGAAATGAAATCAAAACACTACCTTCAACTTCATCGCCCACCTCAGGTGTGTCCCAGCCTTCACCTTCCTTGACCAGCTTCTTCTTCAAGCCCTGCTTGCCGATCTCCTTCTCCTCCCCAACCTTAAGAGTGATGCTGTCATCAGGAAGATCGAAGTCCTCGCTCATCTCCTCCGGCGGGGGCATATCGAAATCCTCATCCATCTGTGGCGCGAGAATTCAGGAACACAGAGCAGACTGCGATGAAGGAACGAAAGTTCGAGAAGACACAGAAACAGAGAACAAAACCTAGGAGCTGAAACAAAGTGAAAGAAAGTAGAGGCCTTTTTAAATGGAGGGGAAGGAGGAGAGTGAAAGGGGGTTCTAGAGAGTTCTAACAGGAAGGGTTTAGAGTTTAGACCGAGAAGTGAGCGCTGGTGATGAGAATGAAGGGTCAAGATGGTTCCAGAGATATTCCCCTTTAATTTAATTGTTATGGTCTTTTTGTTATGGTCATCGCCGGAGGAAGACTATGAATAGGGACGGAGGGGGCGAGGACTCCGTGTGGTTAGGTTCATTTGGGTCGTGTGGGGACGTGCTGATTTGGAAATTGATATGGACCGTTCTTTTTTGTTTTTTTAACTATAAATCGTAAAAAGTGAAGCGTACATTTGTGAATTACATGAACAAGTTAGAGACGAGACCGTATTAGTTCCCGCAAAAGTTTGTTGGGGTTAATTCCAAATTTAGAAAGTTAAGGGTCAAAAATAACACGAAAGAAAGCAAACCCAAATTGAAATTTGAAAATAAAAATTTTTTTTGTTTCTTTTGTTTTTTTTTTTAAACTTCAACCCTCGTCAGAGGCCACTATTGCTAGCAAGCCCCTGCCGACGGTTGGCTGTCGATGCCAACGTCGACCATCAACGTGGTGGCTGCCAGTAGGTTTATTTTTTTCCCTAGCCTACCACCTGGTCCTTTGAGCCAACCAAAATAATCGGTGATTATTGGGCCACCAATAATTTTTTAGCATTATAATGCAAAAAAAGAAAAAAAGATAACTTTTTTGCTCTGACTCTAGTTTGTGCTGACAATTTATCTGGAAATGACAAGTATTGATTGTAAAATGATAAGTATAAACTTGAGATTAAGAAGGCTTTTTTTCCTCTAATACATAACGTGAAATAACATGTGAATTAATTGAAAATGACAACAATTTATTTGAAAATAACAAGTCTTGATTAAAAATGATAAGCCTAAACTTGAGATTAATAAGGTATTTTTTTTCCTAATGCATATCATGAAATAACATGTGAATTAATTAGAATTGACAACAATTTATCTAGGAATGATAAATCTTGACTGCGGAATGACAAGTCTTGATTGTAGAATGACAATATCATTTTTAATAATTCATGTGTTATTTCTTGTTATGTATAAAAAAAATACATTGTTAATCCCAAATTTAGACTTGTATTTCCTAATACTTATCTTTCTCAAATAAATTGTTATAATTTTTAATTAATTTACATGTTATTTCATTATGTATCAGGCAAAAACACCTTGCTAATTTTAAGTTTATACTTGTTATTGTCCAATTAAGACTTGTTATTTCTAGATAAATTGTTGTTACAAGCTGGAATCAGAGTGAAGGAATTAACTTTTTTATTTTTATTACATTGTTAAGAAATCATTGGTGGTCCAATAGTCATCTATGTTTTTGGTTAGGCCAAATGATCATGGGGTGGTGAGATTTGATCTCACCTCACCACATTCCCCAAATAATTCCCCATGGTAAAAAAAAAAAAATTTTCACTTTGAATTTACTTCCTTGCCGGTGGCAACCACTACGCACGTGACCCAGTGTGGTTTTCAGCGAGGGGTTGAACTCTTTTTTTTTTTTATAAAAAAAATAGAGGGACATTTTTGTTATTTTTCTTGAATTTTAAAATTTCAGTTTAAATGTACTTCCGTCCTAATTATTTTCCACCCTTAGCTTTTAAAATTAAAAAATTAAAATTTTAAGCTTTTTTTGGGGTCATTTTCCTAAGTTTGCTTCTTTGGGGAAAAAAAAATGACATACTCGCCGTTTTATTTATAAAATAGAGAGAAAGAGAGTAGTAATTTTTTTAATCTTTGGACTACTTAATTAAATCTTTTTAAAAAACAATTTTCACGCACTATTTTTTTCCAATTTTTAATTTGGTATTTATATTTTTTTAATTAAATTCTTTAATTTTATCTCCTTATGATTTTGCTCCGCTAACCTCCTATACAAGAGTTAATAATGCCACCAAAGCCAAATGACTGGTTTAGTTGTGAAATGAATCAATAGAAATATAATAATTGGGAATGGAAGGTAAGTAACTGTGAATGGTGATTATGGCAAGTGTGTTTCGTAAGAGTAAAGATAAATGTATTTATACAAAAAGAATTAAAGATAATGGAGGTAAGGGTAAATAATGTCTCTTCTTGTTGGCAAAAGAAACGTCTTTTCCTTTTCAAGTTAGTATTACAAAATGTAATCCCTTTCATATTACATAAGCCAAACTAGATACCTGAGGATTTGTTTGGAATGATTGTAGGAGTTGTGATTTATGGAATGCAAAAAAAAAGTGATAAGTATTTTGTCTTGACTTACTTAAAAATACTTATAAGCCCTTAAAAAAAAAAATCCAAACGAATCCCCAATTAGTCATTTACATTAGAATTTCATGTAATCAAACCAAATGAGCAATTAATAATTTAATTGAGAGGAAAAACAAAGAAAAAACACGCACACAGGTACCAATTTCATATATGAATATACTTTTACCCTTAGTTTATTATTTCGTATATTTCTATTTTAATATAAAATATACATATATATTAGATAGATGTAAGGTTGTGAAATTATTAAATTTTAAATAAGATTTAATAATGTTTAAGATTTTTCCTGATAAAATATGTTTAAAATATCTCATAAGCATGACACACACTAGTTGTGAGTCGCCTTGAGTAGGGTCACACGTGGTTCCTACATTTTTGTGTGTAACATTAATGTTAGTGCTATAGAATATAATGATAGGGTGAAAGTATGTTTAATTTTTGACATAAAAATGTGTGTTGTATTTTAGGATTAAGGTGTTAAAATGCCCTAAAATCATAATACAAAAAACCTAGACCGAATTGACCAATTGAATCGAAAAACGGGTAAATTGACCCGTGGTCTAGTTCGGTTTAATTGTCAAAATGGCAAGAACTTGAACTGGTATCAATCTAGTCAAACTAGAGTGAACCGATGAAAATCATTGATAGGCCGGTTTGGATGACTATATTATTAGTGGTCTTATTTTTGCTCATTCAGCTTTTAATATCTTAGTGACCATAGATTTGAATGAATTTTAATGATGATTTTCATATTAATGATTATTAATTTTAGTTATTGAGGAATTGTGAAGATCAAAATTCTCAATGTTGTTATGCTTTGTTATTGTTACAATCAAATTATTATTGTATTTTCTTATATTTTGTTATTAGCAATTATTAATGTTGTTATATTTTGTTATTTTTAATTAAATTAAATTATTTTAATAAAACTGTTTTCATTTAGAGTTAATCTCGATCTGATTTATTGACCCTTCAACTATGCTCTTTATATATATATGTGTGTGTGTATGTATGTATGTATATGTATGTATTTTGTTTTGCCCTAACGTTGATAGTACATTTGTGTGCGTGCTTGTTTTTATACGCATATATGTGTGTGTGTAAAGAAAAGGCCAAGCTAAATCAACAATCTAGCGTGAAAGTAGACATTTATGAATTAAAAGGACCTTAGATAGGCTTCAACAGTTTCATGCACATTCTAATTAATGTACACCCTTCTATTTTTGTTTCTTCATCTGGGTGACTCTATAAAATGACGTCAATATACATATGAGGCATCTAACATTTTCCTGGGAGTCCTTAAAATTACCAACCAACCTCTAATTTATAAGACAATGGACTGCCCCATCAAAACTTTCATGGTCAATATCGGACAATCATCTCCAAAAATGGAGGAACAAAGAGATTATTACAGTACTAACTAGCAGCAGATGTATTATGCGTCGGAACCTTCAATCTTTGCTTTGGTTGAATCTCCTTGCGGATCAAAAATCAGTGTCAGCTGGAACTACCTTCAATAATTTGCCAAGGTCATAAGACTTGAAGTCCTTCCCGTAACATAAACTTAGATCCAATGCTGTTTTCCCATCCTAAAACACAATCATTCAATCAAATTACTCAAAGGAGAAAGTAGAAGTCAATGAATCAGTTCAAGCCAAATCTTTATAATCCAGAAAAATAAATACATAGTCCTCCTCCGATGTTTAATATAATATAAGACCCGATTGTTGAGTTGATTTTGGTCTCACATATAAGGTCTATTTTTCATATTTATCAATTTTCTTAAATTACACCTATTGATATTCCGTCAACCATAATCAAATAGGAGAAAAAAGGAGGATATTAAGAAAGATAATTATGGTGTTTTACGAAAAATATATCATATTTCTTATAATTAACTAATTTACCTAACTTTCTTAATTTAATTAAATTAGTTAAATAGGTCTTACATTAAGGACATGAGGAGTAGTATATACATGAAAGATTAAAAAGAGAAAATGATGAGTCATAAGCGTAAGTTTCACATACAGCTACTTTCTTTTGTACCACTATTTCTATTTGGATATATGAATCTATGAATCTAAACAGTTCAATCACGAATCAGTTCTCAGGATACTCTTTAGCGACAGAGTTCATTTCAGGTTTCTCATAGACAGTGACGAAATGAAGATTTACATAAGGAAAGGGAGCAGCTGACATCACCAAATTGTAAAATAAAATAAATCAAAATATCCTCACTTTAGAACTCACGCATAACCTACATATAACATTTTAAAGTTATATGTGTATATATTTGATAAATCTATCAGAATTAAATTGAGAAAACGTATCAATTTCTATATACTAAAACCAAATTTCATAATTGCAACAAATAATATTAATACCATGGTTTTAGAGCAGAATCTCAGCAATCTGTAACGATCTGTATTTGCATCTAGTATGGATACAAATACAGGCATGCCAGCAAAAGTGATAATGCCTTAGTACTCTATAATGCAGAGGTTAATAACTAGTTCAAAGAGCCCATAACGAACAGGAATTCAAAACACAAAGGAAGCGATGGACCAACAAGAACCTCCAACACTGAATAATGCTAAGAATAAATCTAAATGGTAGAAAATACAAACGGATTTGTAGCAGGTCTGAACCATAAGAACAGCTTCAGCGGAATGTAAAACAAAGTTACCTTGTTTCTCCGTGTCTTATCCGCACCATTGACTAACAAAATTTTTGCAATATCTCTATTTCTGCTTTGGATAGCAACGTGCAACGGAGTCCAACCTTCCTAAAAATTCAGTCATACACAATGAGTAGACATGAACAATATCTGTATGAACAAAAAAATAATCTCTCTTTTAATAAAGACTCACATTATCTGCAACGTTGACGTCAACCTTATATTTGATCAATAACTTTACAGTTTGCTTGGCACCAACTTGAACTGCATAATGAAGAGGGGTAGCACCATCCTACTACAGCAATGACTATATGAATACCAATGCTCTTTGAAAAGCAGTCAGCAGCTTTGGAAGCTATGTCAAGATGTACCCTTACCTTGTCCTTGACATGAGGACTTGCACCTTTCCGTAAAAGATGGCTTATTACAGCTTCTTTCTTTCCTATGATAGCTATATGAAGTGCAGTGAGACCTTCCTGCTTGATCAAATAAGCTAAATCAAATCTATGCAAACACTGTTGTACACCATCACACATTTGTAAACCAAAATATGAAGAAGCACACCTTATTCTTAAGATCAATACCAACACCATTCTCAAGCAGTTGATCCATACATTTTATCTGTGTTGATAGCGCTAGAGTGTGCATTGGGCTCCATTTTTCCTAGAGAATGGAGATAAGGGAGCTAAGTGACCCAAAAAGCAGTTTTCAACACACAGCTTTCTTAAACAAAAGAAACTTGGATAAATCTATTCATGCTTAAAATGCAGCAAGTAGTATGTAGGCCTTCAAATGTGTGTTCTGCGTATAGTTTTCCAACTATAACGACAGATTAGATGTTCAAGTCAGTGCGAATAAGCATGGTTTCTGACATACTGTTGAAATTTTTTCCAAGTTTGGAGTCACATTCTGTTGCAAGACTGCTCTTTCTTCAGGCTCTAAAAGCTGTTCAACCTCTGCAAGGATGAAAATGTACGGTTTTAGAGATAGAAAATTGTCTAGGGTCAAAATATATGCTACTCGTCAGCCTTCTTTAATCATTTTCCTTTAATTGAGAACTTCCATAATCTGGAGCTTCTTTGCTTACACCATAATATATTGAAAGCATGAAGTCCAAGTCCGACAGCAAAAGAGATAAGGTTTAAAAACAAAATGAAAACAATGAAAAACATAGGAATAGAAAAAGTGCCTTTTTTAAAATCCTCCTCACAGTTGTCCACTGAACTAACACCATTAACAGCTGACGACGTTATCTCTTCCTCTTCCCAATCACTTTCAAAGCCATAGTTCTCGTCTTCTGTTTGCTCATCTTCTTCTTCATCATACTCACTGCCGCTACCATCATCAGGTTCTTCCCAAGTTCCTTGTTGCGCCTGAAAATCTGTCAATCCTTGTCTAGATTTAAGTACCCCAGAAATCCCGAGTCTCCTGATTTTACAATGGTTATCAGAAACAGAGAGATAGCACCTTCCTTGGCTTCGACTACACATAAAACCAGTGCCACTTATGATGGTAACATAAGATATGGTGCTTGCAGGAGACAACGGAATGGGGTGATTACTAAAAACAGATGCTGGTGACCAATAACTCATCTCTGCATCTCCCTGAAAAGAACTAAAGAATAAAAACCTGGAAATTACATATTCTTGTCAGTTGAAACTCTTAAATATCATATCTATGAACACTTAGGCACAGTTTAATGTGAAGGAATTCAAGGAACATAACAGGAGAGGGAGTTGGAATCACCAAATTAGTCTGATTGGCACACATAAAAGGGCTTTCTGGGGAACCCATTAAAGGAATATATGGAGCCTTCAAGCTCATGCATTATCAGAACCCATTTAAGAAAAACCCCATCTAGATGCTGCAAAACCCATTACCATTTATACAACCCCTACAGGAAATACAGAAGTGGGGAAACAAGGACAGAGCCATTCGTTGCTTCAAGCCTTACAAGAAAAAATCTCTAACCTCAAGAGAACTTACTGAAATCAAGCCCCAGGTTTCAGCAATAGAAACCTTCAAGGAACGGTCAGCAAATTCCTCACTGATGTCAGAACTGGCTGGCCACCACAAATGGAATGGGGATAATGGAGATCTTACCAGCCGGAGATGAAATAGAGAGGGTTGAAGCAGTGAGGGTAAAGTGCTTCTTCCAAGGTGCTGGTTTGGGTGGAGCTGAACCCTTGCAACCTCGAAGTAGGACTCTAATAGGCAGGGCAAGGGCCCCCTACCCAATACCCAGTTTGAAGGATAAACGGGATGCATTTTGCAACTTGTTGCCTAGCCCCGCCTGTGAAAAGTCCAAGTCATTTCAAGATGGACAGGTGTACCCACATGGTGATGCGCTACCCATAATATGTGACTTCTCATCTCTGTCCTAATTCTCTCTACAAAAGCTGGTTTATGAGGATAGTTGGGTAACCTTCACCTAGGGGTCTCAACTTAATTTTGGGAGATTGAATTTGTGAAAAAGGAATGTATTTTAGGCTGACAAACAAAGAGCATAATGTTGACATCTTAACAAAACAAGAGCGCAAAACCAGCTTGTCCTCAAACTCTGAATTTGAACAAGTTTAATGGCAGCAAGAGCTGAAGAGATCTGAGATTTTCAACTTGTAGAGCTTGCGATTGAGGGCATACAAAATGTCATGCTCGAGAGTGTACTTGGGAATTATTTTTGGCCATAGGTGCTTTCTTATAATGGCATTTTTGAATCAATAGATCACTTGAACGATGCAGATGGGACCAGCATAGCATGAGAGTCATTTTCCCTCCTCCAAACGAGAGGTTCCATTCCCCAGGAGGCACGTACACATTGGACAAGTTACCGAAAATGACCAAGATGTATGCAATAAGTAAAAATCAGAAAATAGAAGCGATTTGGCCGTTTAGCATTATATGAGCACACCACACTAGAGATTATCTGCTGGACCTTAATCATTTCTCACTTTAACTACATTTTAAAATGTCATGTCAATAATTAAGCATATAACGGTTCGACAAAAGGCCGCCCGAGAGCAGCTGGAGATGCTAATTGTAACCGATGAGAGCCACAAAAGGCAAGGCAAAACACATCGCTCGGGCAAAACGAGAGGTGAAGATAAACCAACTGTTCAACCAGTAGACTTGACTAGGAAAGAAGAAGAGAGCATTTTAGAATCAACTCGGCCGAAGTGTGAGAAACAAACATACCTAATAAAGCTTCAGCTCGTCGATAGCGATATTGTTGGCGGCGGTGGCTAACAGAGAAACGTGGGACGGTGGTTCGGAATTAAAAACGAAGGAGGCAGCGGCCGGAGCAGCAGGTAAAAGGAGAGGTAGATACAAATTGGAAGTGAGGAATGAGAGTGAGACGGAGAGGGGCTCCCTGCTAAGAACGGCCTGCGATAACGATAAGCAGTTAAAGACGTTCCCTCGACCTCGAAGCACTCTCAGAGTACAGGGTCGGACAAGAGCCTTGCAATTAATTTCAGCCAACCTATACGAGGCTTTGTTTGGAACTTATGAAGCTGTTTTTTCCTTTAATACTCCCTCTGTTCCTTATTATAAGAGACGAATAATCGAATTACGTTGATAAAAAAAAGCAGTTAAAATTAGTTAAGAACAATTAATGTATAAAAAATATAATTTTTTTTTTCTAAAAATGCCCTCATTAATAAGGAGAGAGAGCATGATAGAGAACAATTAAATTATTAAAAGAAAGAGAAGTGGGAGGGAGAGAGAGTGTGAGTTGGAGACAATAAATATGGATAAACTAGGAAATCAACACAAAAAAGTAGAGACAACTTTTAAGTGTCTCTTATATATAGGAACATGCCATAAGTATCAAATGTCTCTTATAATAAGGAACGGAGGGAGTAATAATTTACGAAACTAAATTAGTTTATATAATTTATAAAACTAAATTAATTTATATAATTTATAAACTAATATAATATTATATAAGGATATTTTAAAAACACCATCATATTATTTGTTATAGTTAAGTAATTTATTGAAATTCTTCCATCTATTTAAATTACGTAAATAGCTTTTATATTAAAGATAAAAAAAATACTCTCATTGCCAGAGTTCTCCATGTCACAAGATACTAGAAAGATAATAAAACATCAAATTATATAAAAAGAATTAGAAAATTTTCACTCAAAAGAGAATTACAAAATTTAAACTTTCCCTTGGGAGGGAACCATACCACTTCCTTGTAGCCATCTTCTCTATGGCGAGGGGTGTGGGGTGTTATTGTATGAGGTGATTCTTACCATGAAAGTGATGGTTGATATTGTTTGGCTTCACAAAATCACAAATGGACGCCAGTAGAGGTTTTTGTTAATCTTTTTTATTTCAATTGATTTATTTTCATTTTTTAGAGTTTAATGTGCCAGATTGTACAAAATGTCTAACATGTATTCTTCCTGTCCTTAATATAAGACCTATTTAACTAATTTGATTAGATTAAGAAAGTTAGGTAAGTTAATTAATTATAAAAAATATAACAAGTTTTTCCCAAAACACCATAATTATTTTTTTAATATTCTTCCTCCCTCTTTTACTTGATTATAGTTGAAAGAGTATCCATAGAAGTAATTTAAGAAAAAAATGATAAATATGAGAAATAAATCTTATATTTAGAACTAAAATCAATTGAACAATTAGGTCTTATATTAAGGTCTGATATTAATTGTAAGGCATTAAAAGATATGACAAAAGTTGCCAAAAAAAAAGATATGACAAAAACCAACGCAAGTAAAATTAATTTTAGGCATATTACCAAAAAAAAAATAATAATTTTAGGCAAGCAGCCGTTTTCTTATGCCCATAAAAAAGCGAAACACGTGGCATTGGGTCATCAACGTTTTCTTGAACTGAACCGAACTTATAATCGAAAGTAGCCGTTGGCAAGTTTGATGCTTGAAACACGGGTGCGGAGGAGCGTAGGAACATTGTTTTTAAAACATTCCGATGTTGCAATTCTAACGTAACAAAAATCTGCAAAAGAAAACGACGTTGAGTCTTCTTCTTACTCTTCAGTGGGTCTCCTTGTTTCTCTTCTTCGAGTTCAGATCACGCCCCGTTCCATTGCCAGAAAGCCTTGCAATCCATCGAGACCCATTCATCGCCTTCTTTTAGGTCAATTACAGTGAGGAAGTTCATCTGAAATAGGAATCTAAAACGTATGTTCTCGATCCCCTCTTTGCTCGATTTTCTGTTTTATAATGGCCCAAACAAAGAGACATCAAATTGCTCGTTACCACCAGAATAATATGAGGAACAGAGAGAGCAGAGAGGCAGAGGGAGATTGCGCAAAGAGAGGAGTCCAAACACACAGAAAAAGCTCCCAAGTGTGCGTCACGTACGTTTCTCTTTCTCCTTCTTTGCTTCTTGCGTGCTCTTTACCTACTGTGCTAAATCAATATTGTACGCTTTGCTGGGTTGCTTGGTACTACCCAATAATTTCTCAGAATATAGTTCACATTATATATCTTCAGGGTTACTGTCTACCTCGCTTTGTTGCCTCTGGATGAATTTCTTTGGGTTTGTTTATTTAGTTTTAGAGGATTAAAATTCACGGATTGAAGCTGCTTATTTTAGTTTCTATTGTTCTTGGCATTTGACATTCAACACTCTCATAAAATTGCAAATCCTCAAATTTCTTCGGCACCATCATTATGATTGTTTGATTAGATCTAAGCGGCATGTAATTTCTTGGGCACTGGTTTTTTTATTGTAGAATCTCTTCTTTTAGCTTATGCACATCGATTTCAAGATTGAGGGATGCAAAGAGAGCTTGCCATTCTTGCTTTGTTTATTTGTTTAGACTCTGTTTTTGGCATCAAATTTCTTGTCGCCATGACAATGATAGTTGTTCTCTTTATCTTCTGTGCTTCTTGTACGATCTTATCTTGGTGATTGTTGTTGTTCTGCCACTCCTTTGCAATTTATTACTAGTCCATGAATACCTACGTATTAGCTTTCTGTGCTGAAATCTGCGATGATTCATTCATTGATTTTATGGCATTATAATTTCAGGCACAAAGGTAAGTGGGATCAAGCCCATTTAGGGAATGTGATCCGTCTCAAAAGTGAAAAAAGCTTGTGAAGCAGGTGAGAACTATCCATTTTGCAAACAGTTTTTTTTTTCTTCTCTCATATTTGGTAAAATGTTGTTGCCATATTTCTTTCGCGAGTTTAATTTTTATTCAACAGTAAAATAATATTTGACGTTAAACCCTTTTGATAGAAAGGTTAGTTAAAACATACATATTTTATATTGATGCTTTCAAATATTGTTGATAATCTTGAATGATAGAACTTATATTGTTGTTATCCAGATATTGTTGATAATCTTAAATGATAGAATTGGAGAATAAAGTAAAACACTAGTTAGGAAACAGGGAATTTTTATTGAAATTCTCATGGATAGCTCTGCTCTTCGATGATACTACTTTGAGATTTATAAGGCTAGAGTCGAGCATCCCCAACTCTAGTAACGTAACTCGTGTTTCATTTTACAAAATATATTCTTTGCAGAATTATTAGTAGGAATCTTTTTTTTTCTTTTTACAACTTAATGTTGTCAGTGATTCTTTGGAGTGTTGGTTCATCTTTATTATGTCTATAACTATTATTCGGAAATCTTTCTCAGTTGTTTATCTGCAGATTTTAAGAGTACATTCATATTAATAGTTGCCTTTTTTTCTTTTTTATCATGGATAATTTAGATATGAAGAATTGATCTCCATTCTAAAAAGCTTATAATGTAACAGATCCTTACTAATAATATGATCTGAGTCAGATGGTAAACAGTGGATCAATGTCTTAAGTGTCCTTGGTAAAGAAGATAGTCTTTGCTTATTTTTTAAGTAAAAGAAGGGCATGGATTTAGATGATTTAGATATCATCCATCTGAGACTTAGTCTAGAAATTTACAAGTTTTACCATATCAATGTCTTATCAAACGGCTCTCCTAATCTTACTCAAACCACCTTAAAACCTTAACTTATAAAACTCCTATATGAAGTTCATCAGTCATCAAGAGATTCTTTTTGATGCATGAGATTCTCATATGAGGCAAGTGTACAAAGTATACTTGAATCTATAGGCAGATAGAACAAGTTTTCAGAAGGAGAGAAAGTTTAGAAAAAACTTATAAAAAACATATGAATCATATGAAGTGAATACAACACTCGGTGGTCCCTCAAAATACTAGCTGCTTGCTTACAAGCTTTCAGAAAGAAAGTTTAGAAAGAACTTATAGAAAACATATGAATTCATATGAAGTGAATACAACACTCGATGGCCCCTCAAAATACCAGATGCCTGCTTACAAGACAAATTTGAATAATTACTTTATAAAAGTAGAGACACGTGAATAAAAAGATGCGTGGCATAAAGTAAAGGTACTCAATAAAAATAAGCATGTTGTACTCATAGTAGATTCCTAATGAATAAGCCTTCTCTTTTACTTAAAGATAGGCTCATAACTTGGTAATATTTTGAAGAAGACACCAATTTTGGCAATGATTCTAATGAGGACCCCAACATATCACCAAGTCAAGAGTCTATCTTTAAGTAAAGAGAAGGCTTATAATCTATTAAGAATCTACTTTTAGTATAAGTAGCAACAACAACAACAACAAAGCCTTATCCCACTAGGTGAGGTCGACTACATGGATCGTATGACGGCTTTGAGCCTTAACCATTAAGAATCTACTTTTCGTACAAACATGCTTACTGAAAGTAGATGGATTGTAATTATTCGAGTTTGTCTTGTAATGAGTAAGTAAATCTATATAACCAAGCCTATAATATTTTGAGAGGGCATCAAGTGTTATATTCACTTCATATGAATAAAATATGTTTTTTATAAGTTTTTTTTATAAACTCTCTCTCTTTTTGATCATGTTCTTGTGAGATAATCTCTTGATGACTGATGAACTTTAAGTCTAGAGTTTTACAGGTTGAAATTCTTCTTAGGTGGTTCTAAGTAAGATTAGGAGAGCTGTTTGATCACCTTGACATGGTAAGTCTCAAAGATCTTGAAGAGACTCTAAGACTAACTCCCATGGATAGGCCAATGTCAACACAACTCTAAGACTAACTCCCATGGATAGGCTAATGTCAACACAATATAGGCAACATAATATAGGCTGGCTTAGAGACATGTACATCATCTAAATCCATGCCTTTCTAACTCAGACCTTATTATTATTTAGTACATAGACATTATAAGCTTTTTTAAGTAGAGTGGTCAATTCTTTATCCACGGTAGAAAAGAAAAAAAAAAGGTTAAGTTTCTTAAACATCTAAAGTCTCAGAGGTTTTGAGAAGACTCTATGAGAGAGTCCAAGATGTTATAGACAGGCCAATGTCAACATAGTATAGGCTGGCTTAGCAAAGACCATCTTCTTCACCAAGGGCACTAACTATTCACCGTCTAACTCAA